CTGAATCAGTGAGTGAGTGAATGAATGAAGGGAAGGGCAGGCCTGGGACTCTGCACCCAGCAGCTGAATCAATGAGTGAGTAAATGAATGAACAAGTGAAGTGTGGGCGTGGGACTCTGCAAGAGAAGCTGTTGCAGGCGCAGGCCCCCACGTCCTGGAGCTTCTGCGCGTGCACACGGGGTGGGCTGGGCCTGGCAAGCTGGCCTCCAGGTGTGCAGTGGTTCTGAGGTTCGCCGGCCCCTCCGGCCGAGGACACTCGAGGAGGCGGGACAGAGGGCCCTCCCTGCAGCCCCAGAGTCCAGGACGATGCTGCTCGTCCCCCAGTCTAGACTCTGTGGGGACGCTGCCAGCGAGAGGTGAAGGTCTAGAAGGGGAGGCCGGAGAGGAGACAAGGGGAGCAGCTGTGTTAGGGGACGAGTTCCCAAGTGTCCCCCCCGAACTGCTGACCCCTGGCGGGAAGCCGACTTCCTTCCCTCAATTTTCTGGGCTGGCTGGAGGGGCCAGAGTCCACCACTCACAGGACCGCGCAGGCCCGTCATGAGGCCTCCTCTGTGCCCAGCCCACGGAGCGGGAAATGGGCTCAGGGTGGGCAGGGTGTTGGTCACACAGCCAGTGTGGACCCGGGTCTCCCTGACTCCAGGCCTTGAGGGGACCCCATGGCGTATGGGGTCTTCTGCACCAGTTCCTTCATCTTCTGCTGCTTTCTGACGTTCCAGTGGGGGCAGGACCTGAGTTGGGGAGATCGGGGTCCCTAGTCCCCCAGCCTTTGGGAGATGTGACCAAAGCCCGCGTGGTTTGGGTACAAGGGTCCCAGAGGAGGGCTGTCTGCCGCACCTGTAAATGCCTGCTGAATAAATGCGTGAGTGAACGAACGGGTGCAAGCAGGCCCCCCGGTCCCCGACAGAAGACGCCAACCGCGGGGGCCACAGTCTCCTTTATTGAGAGACTCAGGGCTTTGTTCTTGCCGACGGCGGGATGTCACGGTGAGGGCTGGGGGCATGTCTGTGTGAGCGACATGAAGGGCTTTCAGCATCACTACTGACCAGCCACGCAGGCAGCTGGCTGCTGAGACCGGCTTGGGGGGGCCACAGGGGGACGCGGCCAGCCGCTGACTCTACGGGGCTGCGCATCTCTGACTGCACGGAGTGCGCACAGGGGAACATGGGGACCACAACAGTAAAATGGGCTGGGGGCCGCAGTACAGACCCTGGCCCAGCTGCGTCTAGGAGGCCCTGGGTTAGTGGGGGTCCCGATCCCTAGTTGATCTGCCCCCACCCCAGGGAACCGTCTCTTCTGTCCATTCCGGGCTGGGTCCTCCAGGACCGGCACCGTCAGCCCCGCTGAGGGGGCTGAACGACCACGCGCACTCGTCAGGGGGCAGAACCGAGGCTCCGAGGATCAGGTGTACCCGAGGTGCCAGCGGGGGCGGGGTGGTGGTGTCTGAGGGCGTGTCAGGAGGAGTCTAGGCCCTTGCTCTGATGCCCACTGCCTGGGCCTGGCCTCAGCCCTTGCCGAACTGATGCCCGCTTGCTGCCTGCCCGGCAGGGCCCAGCAGTCCCACTCACCCGCCCAGAGCAGGTGCCTGTGTGTGAGATCTGGGCGGGCCTCATCCCCTGTGCGGGTGGCCCCCAGGTCATGGGAGGGTTGCCTGGCCACGGACCGGTGGTGGGCCGACTGCCCCGGAAAGGTCCTGTGGCTTGGAGAATGATCCTGTGGGGTTCACGTAGGGGGCCCTGACCCAAAGCCACCGTGGAGACTGGACTCTCCAACTTGTCATTTTTATGGGTGGGGGATCGAGTCCTGGTGCCCTGGGACTCAGACCAGGCCTCCTGCGTCGTGAGTCAGTGCGGCTCACAGCCGTCGGCCTGTCTGACAGTCTCCCTTCAGGACGGTGAGAACCTACTTTAAAAAAACCTTGCATTTCATTTTCCGGGCCCTTCTGCCACTCCCAGTCAGCTTATCCAGGGCAGCTCCTCTGGGATCTGCTTCCCCTGGCTCAGGGGACCTTCTAGGGCCAAGACCAGGACAGGCCATCCTGTCTGGAGACCGGCTCTTACAGATCAAGGAGGCGCCTGCCTTTCTGGGTGCCCAGGGCTCGGTGTGACCTACGACCTGCGGGCTGCCTGCGCCCAGGCTCCTCCTCCTCACCTGTGGCTGAGTCCCTGCAAATGGCACCTCTGTGGGACCCGGCCATCGCCTCTGCCCTTCAGGGAGCCCCCCTTCTCATCAGGAAGCTCACCCGCGCAGCGGGAGCGAGAGTGCCCACGGGGACGTCCCCGGCCTGGCTTGGGCCGCTGGGTGGGTGTGAGGACGCAGGACTCCGCTGGCCTGGCCTCTGCCAAGCACGAGGACCTCCCGGCCAAGCCCCCGGTGGCCGGCGTCCCTGCAGAGCCTGGTCGTCTTGGCGAGAGGAGGAGGGAGAGGCCTGGGTCTGGCCGGTGCCTGACCCAGCCGACCCCCGGGCTGTCCTTCGGGGCACATCAAAGCTTCCCGGGAGGCTGGATGCCCTCGAGGGCCCCGCCAGCGGGCTCCGCCCAGCGCCCCCGCCTCTGGGGCCCCCCCGCCTCCCCTCGACCGCCCAGCCAGGCCTGTGCCTTTCATTTCTGTCCTCTCTGAACACCAGTGGTGTGGGAACAAAGAAGTCTGCCTTTCACCCACCACTAATTTCTCCTCATTAAAGGCCCTTTCTGGATCTGGAGAGGAGCAATCTCTCCCCGGCTTTCAAAGAGGCCCCGAGGGAGGGGTGGGGCGGGCCCCGAGGGAGACGCTGAGAGAAATGGGGGCCCCTGGGGGTGGGCGCCAGGTCCGGGGCCTCTGCGGAGCCCCACTCCTGCCCCGGGGCTGGGGGGGGCCGCGGGGGGGGGGCGTGGAGGCCAAGCGGCGCCGCCCCCTCCTCGGGGCCCCGCCCGGCTCTAATACGGTGTCTCCCGAGTGACGTTGCTGGAGAAGGTGTGGTTGCTGGACACGCTGTTGGTCTTCCTGGAGAAGGCCGGCCTCTCCCTCCTGCGCCCCCACAAGGGACAGAGGCCGGCCAGGGTGGACAGAAAGGCCTGGCGGAAGTTGGCGGAGACCAGGTTGTAGAGGATGGGGTTGATGGTGGAGCTGACATAGAAGAGCGTGTTGGTCAGCATGTACAAGTAGTGGTAGAAGTCGTACAGGAACCTGGGGGGCAAGGGAGAGGCGCTCAGACCGCGTGGACCCCACAGCCGCCCACACCGTGCGCTTGGGACAAAAATTGTAAAAACTACTTGTAACTTTTTTGACATGGGGATGTTTCACAAATTCCAGGTTCTGGCTTCTCTGGAGAAGTTGGAAGTTCTACCCACACTCCCACTGGCACCAGTCTGCGGAGCTGGGTTGTGGTTGCCCTGCTGGGCCTGTCTCCACCTCTCCCTGCAGGACCCCTGGCCTGCCCTGTGCAGCCTGGCACGCCAGGGCTGCAGGGAGCGGCTGGTCCCCGGCCTCCACCGAACAGCCCGGGCAGGAACCCCTTCCTTGCCTCCTGGGCAGCTGCGTACCTCGCCCTCAGCTTGCTTGCCTCCACTCACAGGGATCTCGCTCCCTCACCAGGCAGCTCACTTTACCAGCAGGCAGCCCTGAGTATCAGAAACCCTTCCCCTGGGGCTGTGCTCTGCTACGTGCACCTTCTCCTCTGTGCTAGATCCGCCCTCCCCAGTGGTTCCTCGGCACTGAGAAGAACCTGGGAGCCCAGGCTCTGGGCTGTGCAGAAAAAAGCTCCCATGGTGGGCCCAGGGCTGCCCTCTCACAAGGGCCTCCTGGCCAGGCTGGCCTTGCCATTGTCTGGGAGCTTGGATTTCAGGGATTCACCGTTCCCTGAGAGGAGGGGCTCCCTCGGCGTAAACTGTTTGTGCAAACAACATGGTTGATGCCGAGCAGTTCCTTCCCCCTGGGAGTCTCGAATTCAGGCGCTCGCCAGCCAGGGGTGCTTACGTGACTGGCCCCCAGCAGAGGCCCTGGGCGCCAGGCCTCTGGAGAGCTTCCCGGGAGACAACATTTCTCACATGGCCTCAGCTCGTTCTGGGGCAATTAGCCCGGGGAGGGGGTTCTGGAAGCCGTGCCTGGTCTCCCAGACTCCTCCACAGGCTTTTCCTTTTACTGATTTTGCTGTGTGTCCTCGGGCTGCGATAGGGCACAGCGTGGGTGTGGCTCTCCCTGAGTCTGGGGAGTGTGCCTAGCGACTCCCCCAGCCTGGGGGGGGTCTAGGATGCCCAGACAGCTGCTATCACCCCCCACCAAATCCAGCAGAACCAGCCCTTCCTTGTCACTCTCCAGATGTCTCTAAACTTGTCTCGTTCCCACTCTCTTAGGGGCTGCTTTCCTTTTCCGCTGTAACCTGCCCCGTGGCGTCTGTCCCTCTGTGGCCTTCTTCCTTCTCCAGCCCATTCACGGACACACCACGAACCTGTGGGGACCCCTGACCTATACCCTTGCCCTGAGCTGCTCTGGTCAGCGCCCCCACCTCCCATGCCAACCTGTTTTGGGGAGCTTCTCCCAGCCTGAGCCTCCCCCCTCTGTCCCAGGCTCCTGGTACTCACGGGGTCCACTGCTTATCGGAAATGTAGCAGAACATGAGGCGCCGCACGTGGTAGGGCAGCCAGCAGACCACAAAGGCGATGACCACAGCCCCTAAGACACAGAGAGACATGGGTCCTGTTCTGTGCACAGGCACTTAAAACACTGTTAAAATGTCAGTGCTGGGGCGCCTGGGGGGCTCAGTCATCAAGCGCCTGCCTTCGGCTCAGGTCATGGTCCCAGGGTCCTGGGATCGAGCCCCGCATCGGGCTCCCTGCTCCGCGGGAAGCCTGCTTCTCCCTCTCCCACTCCCCCTGCTTGTGTTCCTTCTCTCGCTGTGTCTCTCTCTGTCAAATAAATAAATAAAATCTTAAAAAAAAAGTCAGTGCTCCCCACAATTACAGACTCCATGCAACCTCTCTCAAAATGCTGATGACGATTTTTGCTGAAATAGAAAAACCCACCTTAAGATTCATGTGGAGTCTTGAGGGGCCCCTGAAACAATCTTGAGAAAGAAGGACGAAGATGGAGGACTCTCATGTCCTGATTTCAAAACTTACCACCAAGCTGCAGTGTGACGTTGGCCTAAAGACAGACATAGAGACCATGGGACAGAGAACCCAGAAATAACCCTCACAGATATGGGCCCATGATTTCCTAGAAGGCTGCCCAGACCATTGTCCTGGAAACAATACTGGGAAAATGGGACAGCCACGTGCAAAAGAAGGGAGCTGGACTCCCACCTCACACCTTATACAGAATTAGCTCAGAATGGATCAAAGATCTAAATGGAGGAGCTAAGAGTACAAAATTCTTAGAGGAAGATGACGGGCACCAACTTGACATCACACATCTGATCAGGGATTCATATCCAGGACGCACAGAAAATGAAAATTCAACAGCAAAAATCAAACAACCCAATTACACATTTAAAAAATGGGCAAAGGACTTGAACAGACATTTCTCCAAAGAAGATACACAAACGGTTAATCAGCACATGAAAAAGGGCTCAACATCACTCATCATGTGATAAACGCAGACCAAAACCACACTAGGATACCATCTCACACCCTGGATGACTACTGTAAAACAAACAAACAAACCCCAAATCCTGAGAAAATAGTGATTTTTGGTGCAGATGTGGAGAAATGAGAAGCTTCCTGCACGGTTGGTGGGAATGCAAAATTGTATATCCACTTTGGGAAACAGTATGGCAGTTCTTCAAAAAATTAAAAGTAGAATTACCATATGATCCAGCAATTCTACTCCTGAGCTTAGTTCCCAAAGCATTGAAAGCAGGGACTCAACCAGATGTTTGTACGCCCGTAGCACTGTTCACGATGGCCAAACGGCAGAAGCAACCCAGGTGTCCACCCACCCATGATGGATAAATACAGTCTATCCAGACTCTGGAGTATACTCAGCCTTAAGAAGAAAGGACATTCTGACACCTGCCGCGACGTGGATGAACCTTAAGGACATCATGCTCAGGGACATAAGCCAGGCACAAACAGACGATCCCACTTGCCTGAGGCCCCTAGAGTAGCCCATAGAGACAGCGAGGAGGGGGTGGTTGTCAGGCGCTGGGAAGAGTGGCTTGGGAGTTAGTGTTTCATGGGGACAGAGTTTCAGTTGTGTAAGATGAAAAGGTTCTGGAGACTGATGGTATGGATGTGCATAATACCACCGAATGGACACTTAAAAAGGGTCAAGATCGTAAATTGTATGCTAAGTGCATTTTACCGCAGTGAAAAAGAAAGCAATAAAAAGGCCAATCACTTGGGAAAACCTGGGGCTGGCTGGGCAGTCCTGGTGCAGAGAGAAGCTCGTCCCTGAGACGGTGCATCCTCATCTTGGGACATGGGGGGAACCTGCAGGAGGAGCTTGGTTTTGGGGCCCTGGCCCCTTGGCAGCTGCCCTGACTCCACAGGCCCAGGAGACCCAGCCTGCGGGAGGCCCCACGATGGGAGGCTTCCTGCTTGCCGCAGTAGGAGATGGCTTGGTGGCAGGGGATGTTCCAGGAAGCCTGTCCCTGACACAGCAAAAGCAAAGGCTGTGACCCTGACCCCTGAACACAGCCTGTTGGCCACTGGCCATGAGGCTACTGTGGCCCAAGGAACGCTCTTAGCAATACTATTATAATGATTAATGCTGAAATGGCAAGACTTTGGAAATACTAGACTAAATTAATTATTTAAATGAATTTTATCTATTTCTTTTTACTTTTAAAAACGTGGTTACTAGGCGCGCCTGGGTGGCTCAGTCATTGGGCGACTGCCTTCGGCTCAGGTCATGATCCCGGGGTCCTGGGATCAAGCCCCGCATCGGGCTCCCTGCTTAGTGAGGAGTCTGCTTCTCCCTCCCCCACTCCCCCTGCTTGTGTTCCCTCTCTCACTGTGCCTCTGTCTGTCAAACAAATAAATAAAATCTTTAAAAAAAAAACAAAAACGTGGTTACTAGACCATTTAACATTATGTGCGGCGCCTGTGTCATATTCTTATTGGGTAGTGCTGCTCTGGACGTCTTTCTTCCAGGAAACAGTGGTCGCTGAGGGACAGGTGGCCTGGGGCAGAGGCCCAGAGGCCTGTCTGTTGGGTTAGGGTGACAGCAACTGGGAGGGCTGCTGGGAGGCACAAGGTAGGTGGTCGCAGTTGGGGAGGGGCTGGGTCTGGCGGGACTGCCCTCAGCAGTAGGGGGCAGGGTGGTTTGAGAAAGAGCATACTCTGGATGGCTCCTCAAGGATGCCGTCTCTGGGCACACGTCAGGCCCAGGAACCCACACATGGAACACCACAACCCACAGGAGCACAAGCTCCACCCTGCGCTCTCCTGTGATGGGGGCTGGCTTGGGATCTTTGTAAGGGTTGGTCTTCAGGATTCCTTATTAGAATGTGGGTCACAATGCAGAGGGGCTGCACTTCAGGTCTCTCCAGGTCCCTGACTGCCTGGCACACATGGTAACCCCCACCTCTGCTGCTCCATGTCTGTGTGAGCAAGCCGCCTGACCCAGAGTCCATGCTCAGGAGACTTGTTAAATCAGTGAATGGATGAGTCGTAGGATGGATGGATGGATGGATGGATGGATGGATGGACGGATGGAAGGATGGATGGATAAGTGATTATATGGGTGGATGGATGGATGGGTGGATGGATGGACAGATGGATGGATAAGTGATTATATGGGTGGGTGGGTGGGTGGGTGGGTGAATAGGTAGATGAATGGGTGGAGTAAAGAACACTGATCCCTGGGTGGAGCCAGACTTCTGAGTCTCTGCTGGGACTATTCCATTTCCTGGGTCTTAAACTTCGCCCTGTTTGGTGGCGTGAGGCTTGCTGCTCTGCTGGCATCTGGCTGCTACCCACCCCGGAGGGCCCAGAGGTTACGTACGTAAGACCCGGACACCATGCCGCAGGGCTTGGACCCTGCCAGGCTCGATGGACATGCTGAATGAGCTGTGCTGGTCCCCAACCGTGCACACCTGGCCCTGCTCAGCTGCCTGGCGGACCATGATGTTCAGCTTGTTGGCAATGATGGTGTTCAGGATGGAGATGACCACCATGGGGAACACAAAGGACATGAAGGTATTAATCTGCAGAGAGACAGAGAAGGACAGCTGTCAGGCTGGTGTGCGGGGGACACCACCCTGCTGCCTGCCCCACCAAGCCGGGATATGGAGTATGGAAGGTGCTTGGTCTTTTGGGGTAGACTGGCAGATGCACACTCCACTTTCTGCCTGCTTCCCACCCACCCCTGGTTCAGAAGGGGTTCACAGACTCTCTGCCACCTCAGTGAGCCCCTCTGCACAGGGTTCAGCCTACAGTGTGGGGTACAAACTCTGGCGTGTCCTGTGGACGGTGTGGACTACACTCTGGCGCGTCCTAGTTGTGGTGAAGGGCTGGGGCTCTGTGTTCCCAGGTCTGGACACGAGGTGTCATGGTTGCAGTCCCCGAGCCCCAGGCTCTCCTCCAGGATGGCCAAGCCCAGCATCCCTCATGTATATGGACAGTTCATGTTTGGACAAGCATGTAAGACCCTTCCTCCTACCCCACCCCATTGCCTCTCAGCTCATTGAAATCAGCTTCTTATGAGCACCTCTAACTTCGATGTCATTTGCATCTGGGGAAGCCGGGCCTCAGACAGGCCAAGGGGCTGGACTACACCTGACCGGGCCCTGCCAGGACACCAGGCTGAGAACAGTCCCTGCAGCCCCTCTGCAGGGGTGGCTGTGATGAGCACTGGGGAACAGGACTCCCCCAGGGGTGGTCCTAAAACTGGCATCACCGAATAAAATCTTTAAAAAAGGGGGGGGGGCGCCTGGGTGGCTCAGTCGTCAAGCGTCTGCCTTCGGCTCAGGTCATGGTCCCAGGGTCCTGGGATCGAGCCCCGCATCGGGCTCCCTGCTCCGCGGGAGGCCTGCTTCTCCCTCTCCCCCTCCCCCTGCTTGTGTTCCCTCTCTCGCTGTGTCTCTCTCTGTCAAATAAATAAATAAAATTTTCAAAAAACACAGAAGAACAACAACAACAACAACAACCGGCATCACCTCCCGGGGCAGTGGACTAACAGCGTCGAGGGGCTGTTTATTCTTCCTGAACGTTCCGCTGTCTCGCAGCCCTTGCTCCCTGGCAGGGACAACGTGGCCTCAGCCGTGCAGGAGACAGCGGGGCCTGTCCCTGCACCTGCTAAGCTGGTCCACATGCTCGTTTTGAACTTCAGTTTCACAGAGGTTTTTGTTTGCGCTTGGAGAGGCTGTCTGCATGGGCTCTGGCCTGGTGGCTGCGATTGCTCTGGAAAGTTCCACAGGTCTGCACCTGGGGCTCCCTGGGCTCCAGGTGGCCCCTCCTGCCACCTCCTGACCTGGTTCGCCTGCAGCCTGAGGGTCCTCAATCGTACGACAGAGATGGTCCCTCAGGTGAGGACAACCGCACCTCCGTCCTGCTCATATAGGCAGAGCCCCGCGACACCCAGCAGCTACCGAAGTTGCGGGCGGGTTTCCTCTGCGGCCCCTTTGGCGGTCGGGCGTCTGTGCAGAACAGGGCAGACTCACATGCCTGCTCCCTTGAGGGCGCTGAGGCCTCCAGCTGAGGCCTCCAGAGGTCCTGCCCACACCCACAGTGCTCCAGGCCCCGCCTGGGAGATCACGAGGCCTTCCAGGAGGCGGTGGCCTGAGGATTATCTTCAGTTCCACCTGAACAAGGCTCTGCTAAACGGGAGGATGCACAGGCCAGAGAAAGGCCACCCAGGCCCTCGGGAAGGGGCCTTTCCACACCCACTGGCCCTGGGTGCCCATCACTCACTGCCTGCCTGCAGGGGTTCCCGCCAGCGCCCCCGCCAGGCCTCCTTCGCTCCTGCGTCTGCCGAGCTTGGGAGGCAGGTTCTGGCTGGGGCCCCTTCCCACGTCCCTTGGTTTCACTGCTGTTTGGAGCCCACCTTCTGCAGGACGGGGGGAGGGGCTGACATGGGCAGAGAGGCCGCTCCAGGAGGGTTTCTGAGGCTGTTGCTGGGCTGGAGGCTGGGCAGGGGAGCAGCAGGACGCTGGGTCTGGGCCCAGGAGACAAACAATTCCCTGTGAGTCACCTCAACCCGGTACAATTTAAACAGAACAAATGTATCCAACACAGATTTCAAATGTCAAAACATTTAAGACACCACACCTCGCTGAGCACAGGCAGTAGAAACTGGCCCCTCGGAGGGCCAGGTGGGAGCTGTAAGCAGTGGGCCGGGGCCCAGCTCGTGGCCTACAGGGTCCGGTCGGAGGCCCCACTGCCCCCCCCCGCCCCCGCTGGAGGAGGGCCAGGCCCTTGCTGCTGAAGTCCGGAGTGAGGAGTGGCCCAACCCTGGCGGGCCTGCCCTGATCACAGGCTTGGGCCAGCACGGGCTGCCAGAGGGCGGAATGCCCTTTCCTCCGTGGCCCCCGCCCCTCCAGCCTGGAGACCGAGACTGAATCTGGATTGTGGGGGCCCCGGGGGACACACCTGACCGTTAGGGCTTGCCTTCTCTTGCCGAAGCTCACGGCATGGATGGGGGCTCCTTCCTGCACTCTACCCCCCACTTCTGGGAAGAGGGGAGCAGCCCACCCTCTCACAACGAGCAAACAGGACCACGTCCCATGAGCCTCATGCACGATCTCTGGGAATGCTGCAGATGTTACCACAGGAGGGCAGGAAGGCTCGGGTGCGGGAAGCCAGGGCCTCCCCAGACAGGCAGGTGCAGACGTGGGTGCCATGCCTTTGTCCCAATAACACATAAGACCTGGGAACAGACAGGCTGGTTCTAAAATTCAAAGAGAAACAAATAATGTAGGAACAGCCAGGAAAGTTCTGGAAAGGAAGAGCGATGGGTCAGTACCAGATGGGGAGGCATCAACTTGCCACCCACTTACCAACGACCCGACACACGAAACAGAGACTCTGAGAACGGTTTGGCACAGATAAATGGATGGACAGAGAGATGGGCAGCGCAGAGAGAGGCCAGAAACGGCGCCCAAGGAGGCAAAGTGCAGCATCTAAGCAAGAGGGAGAAGGTGGGTGACCACCTGCAAAGCTAGGGCCTGCGGCCTCTGCGCCCTTCCCGGGACCTCCCCTCTGCTTCCCTGAAACTGCCCACCCCTCTACCCAGCGGTCCACCTTCCCGCAGGCCTTTTATTCAGGAAAAAGACACGACCTTTTTGCCCTGCTGAGCTTGCAGGAGTGAGGGAAGATGCCCTGGTAACCTTTGGTACCATTTTCCCACCTTGCGGGGAGACCTGCCCAGGATGAAGCCCGAGTGGGAGGAGGGCACCCATGGCGTCGCTCGAGCTCCTGGATCCAGCCGTTTGCAGCCACTGCTCCCAGACTTTCAGTTTTTCTTGAGCAAAATAAAGGTTTCTTTGTTCCCCTTAGGACAACCTGAATTGGTTCCCGAAACTTGTACCTGAACTCACAGAGATCCTACAGCAAAAAAATCCAGATGGAGCAAAGATTAAAATCTAGAAATTAAGGCCAGAAAACTACTAGAAGAATCGTGGAAATCTTACATTTCATCACGTATATTAAACTGTTGGAGTTTGAGGAATAAAGTCGTCCAGGCTCCGCTATAAAGTTTTGCCGTAAAAAAATCAATGATGGAAAAAAATCAATTTTCTCAGCTCTGGGAGAAATTCCTGTCCTACCTCGCCTCCACACATCCCTGTGACCTGGCCCCGGCCCCCCTGCCTCACTCTCCCTTCAGACTGAGCGGCGTCGGGGTGCACCCAGACAGCCCTGGAGGAAGCGGATTCCAGAGCTGGAGCCTCCAGACACCCCCCATCCCAGGGCCTGTCCTCCATCCCCGTGGCCCTGATTGACCGCTGGGCAAGCTCTGGCCACAGCAGGCAGCCTGCTTGGGGGCCGACAGGTCATGAGTTTGGGTGCCGCCCCGCCTCCCTCCTTCCGTCCCCTGCCTCTGGGCTCCGCAGCCCAGGCCAGAGCAGGAAACTCCCGAGGCGGGCAGGGGTCCAGGAAGCAAGGGCGCCTGGGGGCGTTTGGGTATGGGGTTGGGGGCTGTGCACCTTGGCCTCAGACAGACCTGGTTGTCCACTGGCTGTGAGCTGTGCCTTTGGGCAGTTCCAGAATGGCCCCTCAGACTCGGCTTTCTCATTTCGGAAAGGGGGACAGTACAGATGCTCAGCTGAGTGCTGCAAGCTTGGTCCTTCCTCGGGGTGCCCAGGATGTTACTGGGAGAGCCGAGGAAGCCAGGTGGGTGGGCTTCAGCATGGGGACTGCGCCAGGATGCTCCGAGGCGCCGGCATGGCCAGCGCCTGAGGACGCGGGGCCAGTCTCTGACTCCAGCACCTCATCGGGGGATGGAGTACAGCCATGAAGCAATAAAGAGAAGGTGTGCATTTAGGGCCAGCAGGTCTGCCGGGAAGGGGGGCTGACCCCCATGGCAGGCTGGCAGGCAGGTGAAGGGCACCACGGTGGGTGCAGGGAGCCTAGCCCGGCCCCGGGCCCTCAGTCAGCGAGGGGGTCCTCCCCTGAGACCCCTCTCCTTCCACCTTCCAAAGGCCTACTCCCACTTGCTCACTTCCTCGTACGGCAGCCCATTTCCTCTACTTCATCCCACGTGTTAAATAAAGAGATGGGCCCTGGGCTCACACTGCTTCCAGGCTCAACAACCAGCCTGTGGTGTGTGGGAAGGCACAACGCACAGCTGGGTTCGGCTTCTTGTCCAAACCCCCCAAGGCAGAGACTGCGGGGACCTCCTCAGCTGGCTGGGCAGACAAGCGGCCCCAGCTAGGCCCAGGCTCACGGGTGACCCAGGCCAGACTTCAGGTGGAACAGAATCCTCCTCAGACCCAGCAAGTATGGCAAAGGAGAAAAGACCCGCCACGCTCCGCCCTCATCAGTCGCCGCAAAGCAGGAACAGTGACGTAAGTCATTCCAGAGTCCTGGTGTGTCCTCATCCCTCAGAGCAGCCTTGCGTGGCAAGCAAAAACCCAGGAACAGCACAATGCCCACCCTCCGGGCTGGCTGGAAGCCACGGCACATCTACACCGTGAGCCACTCTGTTGGCATCAGGAATGAGTCTGACCGGGCGTGCCAGGGTTGAGTGAAGAGAGCAAAAGCACAGAGG